GGCAGAACTCGAACCCTTAACAAATGCAAATGGGTCACTACGGCCCGGGTATGGCATGTGAAAATGCGAGGTGCAAGATTCAAGCCAAATGGAAAGCAACGAAAGTGGTAAGCTCGCCGCGCCATGTCAAAAACCGAACCAGTCCCTGAACCTCGGAAGAATCGGGACATATGCCAATACTTGTCCTGGAGGTTCAGGGACACCATCCAAGCACCCGGCTTCAAAGCAGCCGGACCTGGGACAGTAGTCATCCACAAGGAAGGGTAAAAGACCGAAGGGTCCAGACAGGACAGGTCCAGAGTGAACCTCAGGTCTGCACAGTCCCGTTTCGGAACTGGAAACAGACGGGAAACCCCCCCCCCCCCTGACAGATGCTGTCATTTTGACCACGCACAAGCTTACCCACTCCAGGATGACCTGCTGACAGAGAACAGGGAAAGAGGCCCACCCTGCCAGCCCTGAATTTCCCCGAAGAAGGAGCCACTCAACGCCACCGCAGGCCTGAGAAAATGCCCCGATACGCCCACAAATCGTGGGACCAGGCAAAAGCAAACAGCGCAAGCCTACCCCCCATTGCCCCATCAATGGAGCAAATCCCAAAAAGGCCAACAACCCTTACAAGAGCCCAACCGATGCTCAAAGCGAGCACTGCGCCGACCAGACATTGACAGCTCTGCAGGAGGGGCCGGCCACGAATCTGGCACCCCTGGCTTATGACTACTGAAGTAACCTCGAGCTTTGGCACAACCCTTCCACCACCGACTGCAAACAGCAAAGGTCAAAAATGGGATGAAAATCTACGAGCAAGGGCCCAAGCAAATTCCAAAGAGTGGACGAGCACTGCCCGGCGGCACGCAAGGCGAGAAGCAAAGAACAGAAACACCGCTTCCTTCAGAATCGGTGCATGCAACTTATACTATCAGTCGACGCCCGAGATGCCAAGGCACCAAGGCACCGGACCGGAACCTAGCTCCTCCACACCCTCCTCAAGCCAGTTCGAAGACAGCTGCAGCAGGGAAAAGAAGAGTAAGACTGAAGCCAAATGCCCATGGGCGTGCAAATCCTCGGCCACCAGGGACGCCAAAAGGGAGGAAACCTGCACATGAAGCTGCACCTGGTTGACATCGCGAGGAAGGACAGGGGCGAACAATCACACATTGAGGTGCTCCAACTCGCCACCCCAAGTAAACTTGAATAACCGTAGTCAACTCCTGCCATTCAAGCGTGCGGGTCCGACAGAACGCATGCTACACCTCCCAACAAGAAGAAAGGGCAGTCTGCCAGCCAGGAAGACACTGGCACCTCGTAATGTACCCAGTAAAGAAAAGAGCCAAACTCAAAAAGGAGGATTACCGAGGCGTAATTCAGGTCTTGCAGCAGGTAAGCCCCAAGGGCCTCCCGCACCTCCCTATTCAGGATGTGGAAAGCCAAAAACCTTCGGAAAGAGGGAACCGAGGAACCTGAGGGAACCGAGGAACCAAACCCGGGAAGGAGCCGAACTCACATCAAACTCATACAGGGAGGGGAGGATATGAAAACCCCTCCCCATTCAACAACAAGCCCTACGCTGAGGGAACCAACACTTAAGCAGGATCAAACAGGGTCCAATCCCCCTAAGTCAACTCCTCCCCAGCCCCGGGATCCTCCACGTCAGGACCCGGGAAAGAGCCATTCTCCAAACCCTCTGCCTCTGGAGAAAAGGCAGAGTTCACCAGAAAAGCAGGGATGAAGGGGGGGTTCACTGGCATGACCCGAAAGCCCCAGCAGGATGAACAGGCTTGAATGCCTTCGCTGCCGATCTGTAAGGGGGCAGTCCCCAAAGCCACCCGAGTCTCACCACCAAGAAGCCATGCCAGCCCCACTCCAAAACGACGTTTTGGAGCCAGCAGTAGTTGGGGGGAGCAGGCTGAACCACAGTAGGGGGAAGGACAAGGGGGCGCGGATGAAACCAAAGTTAAGGCGACTGATGCCACCAAGTCCGGGTCTCTATAACCAAAGCAGGGCAGCCCTGGGACATCCAGAAAGGCAACCAACCTAGTGCGTTGCAGCCACCTAAACCTCACATACAACGCCGAAGCTGCCTGGACCCAAATATCAATAGCAGTGGACTCGGCTAACTGGAGTACAAGCAAGGAGCACCACTTGCAGGACTTCGGGTCAAAGGTGTCATTACCCAACAGGCAGCATGGTGGACGCAAAAACTGCGAGTGTCACCCCGAGACAAGTGGACAGAGCAACCTTCAAACTCGCACAATGTGAAATGGAACTCGGAGGACGCATCTATTGGATCAATGAGCCCCAAAGGTAGTTTCCAGGGATCTTAGGCTGACTGCTAAGGTAAGCCCCAGGTATGGTACTGCTAACCGGTTACCCCCAGAACTACCAAACAAACAAAAAAGCTGAACCCCCTGCAACATGTGCAATCACGGAGACCTAGCGGAGGGCCACCAAAATAATACGAGTACCTGTAGTCCTACAGCCACACCAGGCTGACCCCACCAGGCAAAACAAAGAAAAATGAACACTCCGCAAAAGCACAAGATCTTCAGGAGGAACAGAACCGGCCGCTATGCGTTTTAAGACAGCTGCACAGTGCCTTGCACCCCAGACAGCGATGATACTACCACCTACCCAAGGCCAAACGGGTAGGAAAAGACCCAGCTGACCCCAAGGGTGGGCAATCACCAAGCAGCAAAAGAACCCTACAGAGGTAGTCCCCAAACAGTTTGTGAAATGTAACCCCAAACTGCAAGGGCAGTACTTACAGGGCACCTAGGGAAGGCAACCCTAGGTGCATGCAACCCCAGTACTTCAAGAATTACACATGGCTCTCACACCACCACACTGCAGCACACCACCACAAGGAACAGCACTGCTCAAGGATTGGAGCCAGAGTCAATCGACTGCCACCCAAGACAGCCTCAGAACTGGGGTTTGGTAGTCAGCGCGGGAAGTCTTGGGCCCACCCTTTCCCTTCCTGTTTTCTGATTGGGGACTTCTGCTTACTCGTCTGGCTTTCAGTTTGCAATTTTTAACTAGCTGTACTGTAGGTTGTTTTAGGATTCCTATCTTTCTGGGTGCCTGACCTGGTACATAGCAGACAGACTGCTTCCAACTACATGGGGGTGTCTATAGGCCATTGCTTCTCGTGTCTCTGATGAGGCCAGGTTCTGGCTTGTGGTCCCTGGTAGGCTAAGAACCCCGTCGACTGACTGTTGCCATGGTCTACTATATACACATCAGCCCGATATGGCTCTGGGGGAGCCGTAGGGGGCTCTCTACAGAAATTTTCTTTTATTGTTTTATGAACATAATTGAATCATTGATATGCACACCATACTTTTGAGTATACTGTACTGATGGTTTACACATTTGATTATAGAAATATATCACATTACACACTATTGAATAGTATTACTGAAAAAAATAAATAAATAAATCGGACACACTGAAATAATTAGGTAATAATATCTGTGGCATCTTCCGCTTGACAGCTCGGCTGGAGGAGACCTACCCTAGGTGTGTACAGTACTCTTAGTGCCTGTACCGTGTAACACTTCCAAGCTTTATCATGACCAAAATATGTCACCAAAGATTTTTTTTTTTCTTCTCCACTATGTTATCAGGGAACATATTTTAACAATCTTAGAAGAAGAAAATTTTTGAATTTTCTTTTCTTGCACACAGCAATGTTGTCAGCTATTAATAGCTGTGCCGCCCAGGTGTTAATGTGATGTATCAATGTGAAAATCAGTAGGAGCTATGAGGTGGATTCGAACCCACTCACTTGGTACTCCCAAACAAGCACCATAGACCACCATCTCAACATGGGTTGCATTGCTTTTGACCATGTCATGGCATGGTGGTCTAGGGTTGGGAGTACCAAGTGAGCAAGTTTAAATCCTCCTTATGGCTCCTACTGATTTTCTAATAAATTATATTGTCTATATTGTGACACTGACATGCAGCCGAGTAGACAGCACTTCAAATTCATAGTCCTGAGGTTCCGGGTTCGATCCCACGTGTAGGCAGAGACATGGGCAAAAAAATTATTTCACCCTGATGCCCCTGTTACCTAGCAGTAAATAGGTACCTGGGAGTTAGACAGCTGCTACGAGCTGCTTCCTGGGGGTAAGTAACAAAAAGGAGGCCTGGTCGAGGACCAGGCTGCGGGAACACTAAGCCCCAAAATCATCAAGATAACCTCAAGAAGATAGTATTTAGTATTTTTTTACGAAGACAAAGCAAAGGTTAGTACGGTATTCTTACGTACTGTTGCCATGTCAAATTTACTTCATTTTGGTAATTCATCATATATAACCTGACTGAATACATGATATGAAAATGACTAATTCAGATTACAGACCATACACTATATTACCAGTTAATCAAGATATAGTTAAAAAATTAATATTATAAATCTGTTTAGTTTAGAGGAACGTTCAAACCACCAATCAGGAGACCTGGTCAGAGACCGGACTGTGGGGCTATTGTTTCCCGGAACCATCACAAGGTAGACACAAGATAAGGTGTTCAGTTTACAGATACTCCACTGTTTAACATCTTGCATACCTCCTTCTCCTGTGTTTGACTTGGCACCAACGCGGTTCATGGCAACTGCCAGCGTAGTGTGGGCTTCAATGGATATGGAACCATAACTCATGGCACCAGTTGCAAACCTCTTTACAATTTCTGCAGCAGGCTCAACCTGATGTGAGGAAAACACAATTAACAGGAAAAAATTAAAACCTGTAACTAGAAAGTTCTAAAGAAAACATCTAAGAAAAGTTTCTAAATGTTAAATATCAATTTAAATAGTACTGTATTGTTCTCTTGATAAAAGTAACTACATTAAAAATACATTTATGAATTTTATTATCTTGCCCCCTATTCATCCTACTGTGGTAACTCTTGCTCGAGTTACCTACTCGAGGAATTACCTACTCAAAATCTGTTGTGGGGATTTCCTAAATTATGAAAGTCGAATTTGAGGCTAATTTTTAAACTGCATTTATATAAATTTGTTCCTGTGTTCTTTATGTGTATGCCTATATTGTATTGATCTTCAGACAAAATTTAATCACTATCATACAAACTCCACAGTAATTATCTTGCAATCTGAAGTGCTTGAACTGATTAATAACCTGTGCTAGCCTTTGTTACACCACACTTAGTAGTTCTAGGGAAGAAATTAATCAACATATAGCTTTTCAGTAGCATACTAAAAGAGGCCTTTCTTACTGGCATTTTCCCAACTAGGAAAGTGTCTAGTGTTAACTATACACTTTCCCACTTAACCTTGTAATAGGGTTGCTACGATTTAGAGTGATGTGTAGTAGTTATTATTACATACAGTACTTATCTTCGGTTCATATTGTATAAATTTTATGGTTTCAGTTTCCATATGTCTTTACATGAAATTTATAATGCCATTGGTGTGGTTTTTGGTTTAAAAAATAAAGACAAAAATAAGTTGGTTTCCTTATTCCAGCCAAAACATACGAGGTCATTATTCACATTTGAAAATTCATTAAGCAATTCAGAGACAGAAATCAAATATTAAATATGAACTACATCAGACAAAAGATACCCGAGTGCTACTGCTAAAAGCTTTTGGTCATCATTAAAAATAGAATAAATTTTTCTTTGCCCAAGTGTTCATACACATGACTATCAAAACATGATAGATATTTAACTTTAAATATTTTATACAAGTACCATTTTAATTCTTTGATAAAAAACCAGCGTTGAATGTAATGAAACGTCATTTTCTGGGGGAGACCCGGAGGCTCCCTGGAGCTATCCAGGCTGATATGCTAATGTCAGACTTTGGCATCAGTCATGTACTCACCTAGTACTCACCTAGTTGTGTTTGTGGGGGTTGAGCTCTGGCTCTTTGGTCCTGCCTCTCAGCTGTCAATCAACTGGTGTACAGATTCCTGAGCCTATTGGGCTCTATCATATCTACATTTGAAACTGTGTATGGAGTCTGCCTCCACCACAACACTAATGCATTCCATTTGTTAACTACCCTGACACTGAAAAAATTCTTTCTAACGTCTCTGGCTCATCTGGGTACTAAGTTTCCACATGCGTCCCCTTGTTCGTGTTCCACCTGTGCTAAAGAGTTTGTCTTTGTCCACCCTGTCAATTCCCCTGAGAATTTTGTAGGTGGTTATCATGTCTCCCCTTGATGACCAGACCACACACTAGAATGTGAAGGGACGACGACGTTTCGGTCCGTCCTGGACCATTCTCAAGTCGATTGTGATGAGTAAGTAGAGACAGGCAATAAATAGGCACGAGAGATGAGGAGCAAAGTAAGGTGTAGTAGAGGGGCTAGTAGTAGGAACTGCAGAGGGCCTATTGGCCCATACGAGGCAGTTCCAATTATAACCACCGAAAGAGAAAGAGAAAATAATGAGAAGAGGAAAACGAGGGAACGTAGAAGACAATGAACAGAAAAAAAGAGAGAAAAGAGAAAGAAAGGAAGGAGAAACAAAGGTAAATGGAAAGGGTAAGCTTATGTAAGGTCACGTTTGTTAGAAAGATTAGAGCATTTGAGTATATACTGTGAAAGGGAAGAGTCCACAGCAACAAAGCCAGGACTCAAGTTCATGTTGGGTACATTGTGTATAAGAGCCGATTCTACAAGACGGCGTCTGTGTAGAGTAGAGGCAGGAAAGATTATTTTGGAGGAAGACCAATCAATGGGATGATTAGAATCCCTAATTGATTGAAACTGAAGAGAATGTAGTACCCAGACACTGCACTCAGGGAGCAACAAAGGCAGGCACCCCCTTCCCACCAGGCAGGAAAACAAAAAGAAAAAAAAAGAAAACCCTGCAAGAGGACAGCGTACCTAGGCGGAACAGAGCCGGCCGCTTTGAATGGTGAAAACACGCTGCGCAGCACCCTGTACCTTGTACCAGTGTAAACTGTCTCTTACCCTAAGGTAAACACAAGGGAGACAAAACTCCCCAACACACTAAGGGCTGCCAAAAACCAAGCAGTAAACGGCCTAGCAGAGGCAGAACCCAAGGAACTTTTGGAAGGTGGCCCCAAGCCAAGGGCAGTACTCACAGGGCACCTAGGGAAGGGAGCCCTAAGCGCATGCAGCCTGAGTACCGAAGAATCACTCCTGAATGATTCCTGAATCATTCAGGATCGCGCACCTGGAGTGATTCTAGAAGACAGACACCACACACAAGGCACAATGCTGAAACAATCACTGGAGCCAGAGCACACAACCACAGCCTATAGCATCAGCCTCAGAACTGAGTGGTGGATGGCTGGCACGGGGGTCTGGGGCTTCCCCCTTCCCCCTCCCGTGGAGGAGGGGAGCTGCGCAGACGGCGGCGCGGGGACATGTGACGTCATACTTGTTTGCTCATTTCTGTTTGGGGAGTTCTATCCACTTGTTCAGCTTTTTGTAGCAATTTTCACCAGAATCGGGGTTTGTTTTGGGACCCCTACCTTTCTGGGTGCCTAACCTGGTCGATGGCAGACATAGAATGCTTCCAACCACACAGGGATTTCTACAGGACATTGCTCTTCGTGCCTATGTGAGGCGGGCCAGGTTCTGGCTTGTGGTCCCCGGTAGGCCCACAGAGCTCCATACACATGACTGATGCCAAAGTCTGACATTAGCATATCAACTTGGATAGCTCTGGGGAGCCGATGGGGCTCCCCCTAGAAAAAACTAGCAGAATTATTAATTTGTATGCAAAATGTAAGAAAAACAAACATTTATAAGTCCATTTTTACTGGTTGGAAGGGATGTGAAAGGTTATGCTGTGGTTCCATAACATGCTTCCACTACACATAAGGGGCATAACTGGCTGACCCCTCACAGTGTTCTAGAGAGAACCTAACACCTCCACAGGATACCTGATCAACCAGGCTGTGACTCTTATGTCAGGCTGTGAGCAGCCGTGTCCAACAGCCTGGTTGACCAGTCCAACAACAACGAGGCCTGGCTGATGACCGGGCCGTGGGACCGCTAAGCCCTGAAATCATCTCAAGATAAGGTAAGGTGATCTATGGAGGCATCTTTCGACATCATTCTACACAACACTCCAAAGCTGTAAGTCCCCAAAAATTAAAAAAAAAAAAAAAGCCTGGTCACATAATACTATACACAGAAATTAAAGTTTGTAATACTATAAAAAAAAATTACTATACCTCTGAAATGTCGATGGAATTTTCCAATTTTACAAGCTCCAGTTGGCCACGTAAAGTACAAGCTTTGACACTTTCCATAGTAGATTCTTTGAACTTGTCATACTGATTCCTGTTATTGCTCCTTGAAGCATCCTGGATAAGCAGAGAGACATTACAGTATTACACAGTACACTGAAAAATTGTATTTATACCTTGGAAAGCACAATTTAAGTACAGTATAAGAAATCATGAAAATGTTAATATTTTATAAGCTTAAATGAGAAATTAGGTAAATTTTTATTATCAATATACAGCACTGCAATTATATGCTAGGATCCAAGGTGCCACCCAGTGAGTTAGCTGGAAGGTGGCAAGACAAAATACATATTAAGAAAACTAAATACTGTATCTTGGCAGTCAACATGTAGCTACCAGATTTTAGTAGGTACCAAATTTTAGAAACATCTAACAAACTTTAACAGGGAGCCTAACAATTATACCTTAAAATAAAAATTACAGCAAAAATTTGGTACTTTAATACCAGAAAGTTTTTTTTACTTAATCCCTCAAATAACTGCCTTCACCTATCCCATTTTTCTATTTTTAACAACAAAACCTGTGTACCAGTTAGATCTGATCAAGCCTTTACGATCAATTGTCATCAACAAAGTTTACACAAACTTTGCCTTAGAAATAGGGGTTTGCAAACCTGTAGAACAATTTATAAAGAAACACAAACTTAATGGAAAGTGCTGAGCTTTGGTTTCCCCAAGTACATTAGTGGGTGTTATTAGATACATAAAGGAACTAACTTCCATGGATCAATAGGCCTTGATTGCTATGGTCTTATGAGTCCAGAAACCAAGGAAATAATGAAGGTAATAAATAATGAAGGGCTTAGAATATGCAACATGCACAAGCAAGAAACTGGAGTGCTTACGACTATTCATCAACAGCTTATTTTAAATTACGGCAACTGATTTCAATACAATACTACAAAAAAATACACACCTGCAAATTGGCAATAGACAAAGGATCATTGATGTGTTTCTCTCCACCACTTCGCCAATGATAGAAGCCTGGGTTTCGCAGCACCAGTGTATCACATTCCCGATCTCCATAGGTGAGTGCATGACGCTCGAGCGATTCACTGGCCAATGTTTCAAAGGTAATGCCACCAATCCGAGAAGCAGTACCCTGAAAAATACAAATTTACTTCCAATCAAAATAATGGCACTACATTCATGTATCATAATGCAGCTCGTGGAAGAGTATATTTATTGATAATGAGCAATTAAAGTTTTTTAGAACTCTTTGGCATAATAGCTCAAAAATTTACCTATATTACTGGGAGAAATTCTTTATTTTCATCAGACAGATTTGAGTACTTTCCAAATACCAGAATAATCCTTTGACTGTATTTGTAACTTCCCAAATAAATTATTTAATGAGATTTACACCTCCATAGTGTTATGTGCAATGATATACCCTGTCCTGCACAAGTTCACAGTGGGTTCCTTAGAGCTTGAGCACTGCCTCTACAAGGATAAAGCCAAAATGCAGGCATCTCGGCCCACTGGGTGCATGAGACCAGATGAATAGGGAAATGGCAGCATATGTAAAATCACGAAGCAAGGTTTTGACACAGCCAAATGACGGGAAACAACAGGATGGGGGCAAAAGATGAACAACCAGATAAGAGAGCCAGACAAAAAGACTTGCAACTACCTCTGAATACATTAGTTGGAGAGAAAAAAAAACAACTTTCAAACCAGCATTGAAAGTAATGAAATACCATTTTTTGGCTGAGCCCCAGAGGCTCCCTGGAACTATTGGGCTAATATGCGAAACCTTAGACCAGGGCATTAGTCAAAGAGTTCAGCTACTGGGGACCTCGAGCCAGAACCTGGCCCCCTCAGAGAGACAGGGAACAATGGCCCCCTGGAAAACCCACTTGTGGTTGGTGGTTTTCTTTGTCTGCCATCAACTGGGGTTAGGCACCTAGAAAGGTGGGCATAACAAAACAGACTCCACTTGTTAAGAAAATTGCAACTGAAAACCTAACACTGACAGAACTCCATTAATTCCCAAGGAAATGAACGAACGTCAAACCCCGCCGCCATGCCACTCATTTGCGCAGTCCTCCCCTGCCTGGGAGGACGAGAGGGTGGAACCCCGGACCCTATGCGCCGGCCACCCAACAACTCCAGTTTGGAAGCTAAGCATCAAAACACAAAAACTGCCGACCGTAGGGAGGGAGGGAGGGTGCCAGGGAGCCTCCAGGGCTTATCCAGAAACGAACCGTGAATGAATGACAAGCATATAACAGTTCATACAGGAAATGAACCATGACAGGCCATCTGCCAGGACATTACACACTCCCCGGACAGCCAAACCCTGAGAAACCAGCAGACGAGCAATTCGAAGCAACCAACCCCAAAGAGGTAAGGTCCGAAGGAAACCCCTGCAGTTCAGGAAATGAACCACCAGAGAACAGTTCGAATGGAGCTGAACCCCACCGCCCCTGGCCAGCCCGGTGAGCACTGGTCATAAAGTCCCAGCCGAGAGAAGACGCGTTCGTTAACACATCGAGCGAAGGCTCGGGTAGCAACCCGTTCTCACACTTGCGTATAGTCAATATTGGCTTATTTAATAAGTGCATATGTGACATACTAATTGATTGCAAATATTTTAGTTTACCTTGAAAAGCTTCATAGAAAACACCGACCTCACCTAACCTTCTTAGTATGTTAAGATAAGCATCTTATTGCTTCTTAATTACAATTATTACTTAACCTATACTGTTGATAGGTTAAGTAATATTGTATATAAGAAGCAGTAAGATGCTTATCTCAACATACTAAGAAGGTTAGGTGAGGTCGGTGTTTTCTATGAAGCTTTTCAAGGTAAACTAAAATATCTACAATCAATTAGTATGTCACATATGCACTTATTAAATAAGCCAATATTGACAGAAAGCAAGTGCGAGAACGGGTTGCGGGTAGGCACCAAAGAACCGAACCCGGAAAAACCCGAAGAGGAAGCCAGCAACACAGCAACCGATGCAAGGCCCATGGAGGTCGAACCTAGCGATCATGAAAGAGGCAGAAGCGGCGTCCCCAAAGGAGGTTATCTTATCTTCTTGAGGTTATCTTGAGGTGATTTCGGAGCTTAGCACCCTACGGCCCGGGCTTTGACCAGGCCTCCTTTTTGTTACACATCCCCAGAAAGTAGCCCGTAGCAGCTGTGTAACTCCCAGGTATCTATTTACTGCTAGGTAATGGGGGCATCAGGGCGAAAGAAACTGCTCATTTGTTTCCGTCTCCACCGGGGATTGAACCCGGAACCTCAGGACTACAAATCCGAAGCGCTGTCCATTCAGCTGTCAGGCCCCAAAATTATTGCCAACAGCATTTGGTGTTCCCAGGCGGTCACCCATCCAAGTACTAACCAAACCCAATGTTTCTTAACTTCGCTGATCGGATGAGAAGCGGTGTTTTCAAGGTGGTATGGTCATTGGCAAGGAACCAGAATGGACGCCAAAGCCAAACCCGACCCAGCAGGTAATCCAGCACAGCAAAGTTCAGACACCCACACAACTGCTTGAGCAACTGCCGAGTGATCCGGAACCCTCCCAGAAACAGCTGAAAGCAGGATCGCTCGCATTAAGGAAGCACGCATTAAGGCACTCAAATTCATCCCCCCCTCCCCCCCCCAGGTAAACCTGTAGAACGGTAGAAGTTTCTCGCTATTCAAGCATGTGGATCCGACAGAACCCATGCCATGCCCCCATTGAAAAGAATGAGCAGTCTGCCCAACTTGTCCTCTTACAAATTACGTCTGAATTTGGTCGTTTGCCCATATGGCCGAAAATGGACCGGGGCCTTCAAACACACACACCAATACGGAAAAAAAAACTCAGAGGACAGATCCATACCAGAGGCAGAATCTGGGTCTCGCAGAAGGTAAGCAACAAGTGCCTCCCGAACATCCTTAGGCGAGATACGAGAGGAAGATAACCTCTGGAAGGAAGAAGCCAAGGAAGCCAAGGTAACCCGGAACCAAACCCAGAGAGGAGCTGACCCCTAATCATACTCATACAGGGAAGGGAGTTTAAAAAAAAAAAAAACACTCTCCCTGCAACAACAAAGCAGGGTCAAAGAGGGCCCAAGACCCCAGGTCACCTACCCAGCCCCGCGATCCCCCAAATCAGGACCCGAGGCAGAGCAGTGCTCCATACCCTCTACCCCTAAAGAAAAGGCAGAGTCCAGGGGAAAGGCAGAAAAGAAGGGAGGCCTGCTGGTGGGACCCAGAAGCCTCGGCAGGAGGAACCGGCTTGAATGCCTCCGTCCCCAACCAGAATCAGGGAAGCCCCTGAAGCTGCCCGAGTCTCATCACCAACTAAGCCCCGCTCTGACTCCGAAAGACTTAAGATGTTCGGGAAACAAAAGCAGGGGGAGGTAGGGGGAGGACGAACAACAGGGAAAGGACCAGGGAGAGCAGACTAAACCAAAGTCGAAGCGACTAATGTCCCCAAGTCTGGGTCCCTATAACCAAAACGGGGGCAGCCTTGGGGCATCCGGGTGGGCAACCAACCTAACACATTGCAGCAACCTAAACCTAGAATGCAACATGGATGCAGCCCGTACTAGAATATCAATGTTATCAGAATCAGAAAATTGGAGAACATGCAGAGAACACGACTCACAAGACTCGTTGTGTCAATGGCACCTTTGACCACAGGCAGCATGGTGGAGGCAAAAGCAGTGACAGTCACCCCAAGACAAGACCACACAGCAACCTTCAAACTCTTATGAGGCAAGCTGGAACTCTAAAGACACATCCATAGGTCCACCAAGCCCCGACAGGGTTTTCCAGGGCCCCGTAGGCTGACTGTTACAGGAAGCAAGGGCAAGATGTTGCTAACCAGTTAGACCCAAAGCTAACAAGGGGGAGATCAAAACACTGAAAGCCCTGCAATGTGTACAACTATGGGGGCCTTTTGGAGAGCCACCAAAATATTATAAATGGTCCTATAGCTACACAAGGCAGACCCACACCAGACAATGAAAACAAAAAGTAAAAGAAAAACCAGACAAAATTACAACGTCCAAAAGGAAACAGGAACCGGCTACTGCATAGCTAAGCTGGCTGCGCAACACCTTGATGCCCCAGCCACCAACAATACCACTCCCTACCCAAGGGCAACCAAGAGCCACGAAACCCTAGCTGGCCCCCAAGGGCGGGGTAAATGCCAAGCAGAAAAACACCTACGGAAATGGGATCCCAAAGGCATCAGGGAAGATAACTAACGCCTAAAGGTAGTACTCACAGAGCACTTAGAAAAGGCTGCCCTAAATGCATGCAGCCCCGGTACACTTAAGTACACCTGGTCACCACACCACAAACAGCAGAGGACACCACTAAAACAATACACTGCCAGGAAACCAAGGCCAGAGATGATGACTGCCCTTGATAGCATTAGCCAACGAACTGGGTTTGCCATGTGGCCGGCACGGGAGGTCTGGTGCTGCTCCTCCCGGGAAGGGGAGGGCTGCACGGATGAGCAGTGCGGTAGCGGGGCGTGACATTTGCTCGTTTCCTTGGGAATTTTGGGAGTTCTGTCTCTGTTTGGTTTTCAGTTTCAATTTTCTTACCATGTGGGGTTTGTTTTCTTATGCCTACCTTTCTGGGTGCGTAACCTCGGTCGATGGCATAAAAGGAAAAAACCCCAATCACGGAGAGGGAGGTGGGGGGGGGGGAGTGGGGCGGGAGATTCCAGGGGCCATTGCTCCCTGTGTCTCTCTGAGGGGCCAGGTTCTGGCACGTAGTCCCTGGTAAGCTGAACTCCATTGACCTCCACTGACTAATGCCCTGGTCTAATGTATCACACATTAGCCCAATAGCTTCAGGGAGCCAAAGGAGCTCCCCACAGAAAACATGCTATATTAGAAAAAATAGAGAACCAGCTGAAAGGATCGAGGGGCTATCCGGGGAACAACATTGGGCAAAAAGTTTATGCACCCAGAAAATTGCATTACAATAGACAAATATGGGGAATATTCCCAGGGAAACACTAAGACTGAAACTAAGACAGACTAGAGACCTGAAACAATCTTGGGTGCCCAACACCGAGAGCCGAGATGTCGAAACCAGAGCATTGTAATGAAAGGTGTGGGGCACAAAGGGTAAAGAGAATTGATGGCATAGGCCAGAGGCATTCTGCCCTAAGGACTGAGGCACTAAGACCCAAGAGCAGACAACCTAAAAGACTTCAAGACAAATTAGCAAAGAGAGTCTGGCAAACAAAACCCAAAAAGCTGCTTTGAAGATACTTGTTAAATTTTCTTTTGAACACTGCTAGAGGTCAGCCAGTTATGCCACGTATATGTAGGGGAAGTGTTGAAAAGTCTTCAGCCTTCGATGTCGATTGATTTCTCTATCAGCATAACTATTGCACCTCTGCTTTCAGTGGGGTTATTTTGTACATATTGCCATGTCTCCTGGTCTTGTGTAGTGTTATTTCTGTGTGCAAATTTGGAACCAGTCCTAATACTGTATTTTCCAAGTATAAATTATTATGCATCTCTCCCACTTGCACTCTACAGAATAGATTTAACATTTTTAGGTGTTCCCAATAATTTAGAGGATTTATTGAGTGGATTTTAGCAGTAAAAGATCTTTGCACACACTCCAGATCAGTAATTTCTCCAGCTTTGAATGAGGCTGGTAGTGTGCAACACTATTCCACTCTAGAGAGCACTTATGTCTTAAAATGCATCAATGGCATGGCATCACATGTTTGGAAGGTTCTTGTCATCCAACCTGTCATAGACAGCAACTTTGTGGTGTTCTTTAAAAGTAAGCTCTTCTGACATGATTACTCTCATATCTTTTACTTTGCCTTTTCTTTTAATAGTGTCGTTTGACCGTTTTATATGTGGTTATTTCTGTGATTTTTCATCTTTTTTCTATAGCCCAGTAGTTGGAACTTTTCCTCACTAAACATCATATTATTTCCTGTGGCCCATTGAAGACTTTATTAACATCTGAGTTGAGGGTTTCTATGTCCTTTATATTGTCTATTCTGATGAAAATTCTAGTGTCATCTGTACAAGATGATACAGAACTATACTTTTGTATCCTTGTCTATGTCAGATATAAATATGAGGAAAAGTACTAGAGCAAACATGGTATCTTGGGGGGAACCGAGTTTTTCACGGTGGACGATTCAGATTGTACTTTGTTGACCATTACACTCAGGGTTCTGTTTGTTAGGAAGTTAAAAATCCATCTCCCTACTTTGCCAGTAATTCCTTGTGTGCATTTTATTTGCAATAACACCATTTGTCAAAAACTTTTGGGAAATCTGTCTATGAACAGCCGAGTACAGGAGGAAATGATCCAAGTGCTGTACTCACTCGGGAAACAAACAGCACAAGCCGGCCCTCACACACTGGGTATCATGAACACAGAGCCTTGAGGCAATTATGAACAACACTCAGAGACCCTGTGGTAAAGAAGCTCAAATGCACAGAACAAAGCCTGAGAGCCAAGCCCAGGTGCTGGGACCAGTAGCCAAGGATCCCAGGGAACGCAATCCTGTGGTGATAACAGATAGCCAGGCAACAGTGCGGACAGCCTATTAGTTTGTGACTACGTAATGAAAGTGTTTGAAATACTACCTATAAAACTACACTGCAATCAATACATGGGTAAAAATAGTACAGTATAATGCCATTTAACAAATTGAATAATATTCATCAATAATAAATACTTGAGGTTTACCTTAAAACACTTGTTTATTATATCCTCTGAAATTCCAACAGCTTCAAAGATTTGTGCTCCTTTGTAAGACTGAAGAGTTGAGATGCCCATCTTGGCCATCACTTTGGACAATCCACGCTCCATGGCAGCAACATAGTTCTGAGGACACCATAATACACAATTTATGAATATTTCCCCAGTTCTTAATCTCCCTCTAAACTTGACCAAATAAATAATTATATTAATATACAAATATATTCATGAATGTATTTCTACAATCACTCGAGTAAAAACACTAAATCCTTACAATTTATCTTATTTAAAAGTTTGAAGAAATTTAATACCCTAGAGAACTTGCCTTGAAAACATCCTTATGAGTAAGGCTGGAGCTAATGACACCTTCAGATCGAAGTGTGTCCATAGTCTCAAATACCAGGTATGGGCAGATGGCATCAGCACCATAGCCCAGGAGAACACACATGTGATGAACTTCTCTGTAAGTAAGAATAAAGTACTGTAGGTAAATGTATGGCCAAACACTGAGTATTTCTTACTATGCATCACAAGATACCTTTAATCAAAATGACAAGCAATGCACAAACAAGAGCATCATAATAGTTTTTAATAACTTTTATATATTTATTTCCATGCACAGGTCCTTGGTTGTTTCCCTAAGCAAGGTCAAAATCCATTCAGGACACTGTATGTATGCTGTATATATATGTGCTACCTTAATGTTAACTATTAGCTCACCTTGACAAGGCACACTGCCAATGGTCTTGCCATGGAGTGCTTTTTAAATACACTCAAAGATTGTGAATACATTTTTTGATTAAAGCTTTCAAACATATTTTATAGTTTATGGTTTCACACAATCATAGATACGAAGTCTGTTAGACTCATAAAGGTTCCCCAAGGCCAACTAATGACATTGCTCAGGAGGCAACCCACAATACATTCCCAACTACAGAGAACCTATTTACTGTCAGGCAAGAGAAAACCTCACCCAACCACTTATGTCACCCATGGTAACTGAGGCCAGAGACTAGACTAGAATGAGCTCATGATGGCACAACATACAAAGGCTCAACCCACTCATTATAAATGCTTTATGTCCAACATACAACTGAACAATTATGCTCAATTTAAACTTTAAGAGCAATGCAATTCAACACACCATCACATTATGTATTGGCAGCAATTGGTAAGATGTTGACCTAGACCTTAGAACATTAATTAAGTACAGTGTGTTGCCCTAAGTTAAGCTATGGCTACACTATTACAAATTTCATTTTGCACTTAGAATCATGCTTAATACACCCACCTTGCTTCTCCGGTCTCAAGGATGATTCCAACCTTCATACGTTGTCGTTCTTCAATCAGGAAGTGATGTGTGGCTCCAAGTGCCAGCAGTGTACTAACTGGCAACCTGAAGCGAGTCATTCAAAAGCAATTAATACAATACCAACAATAATACTAGATGCTGCTGATGACAATAATGGTTGCGACAGTGGCAGTATGGGGCGACAGTGGCAGTATGGGGCGACAGTGGTAGTGGTGGTGACAACTATGATAAAAACACTAAAAAGATGAAGACAAAATATTCAACGTGTATAGTTACAACTTGGTGCAAAACATACAGGGCTTGGCTGTACTGGGATCATTGGGTTATCACCTAGTCCTAGTGGCTTGTAACATTAACTTTCATTATTAACTGCCCACTATATTACTGCATTAAAAAATTTTAAAACATAAATTATGATAAACATGTATATTAAATGGGCACAGCAGCCCCACCCTCTGGGAGCAACCTGACCCAGGGTTTGCTTAGTAATTTCTCTACAGCCATATTATGTGACATTAATTTTATTTCAACTATCCTGTGATTAGGGAATGCATTTTAACATTAATATAGGAAAACTAAATTCTTACATTCTTACACACAGGGCATGTGTCATTAATTGCCTGTGCAGTTGATGGTTAAAGAAAGGGAAGCAGTATTAAGAAAATAGTACAAGAAAGCAAGAATCTGGCCAAGTCTAGCATCTTTCATCAATAAAAACTGTCTTCTATGATAACAGAAAACTTGTGTCATTCAATACCTGCTAGGCCCAGCTTTTTTATCAGAAAGCACTATCAACTGGTATCCCTCCTTGGCTGCCCGACATGACTCTGCAGCAACACGATCTAAGGCCGGGATAAGGCCCTGTACGCCCTCAGACACTGGGTACGTTATGTCAACAACATATGTGCGCCACCCTCTGTGCTTTGTGGCTTTGATTACCTAAAGAAAAAGAAAAGGTTATGACAATTTCATAAACTTTTTAATAAATTACATTTATATATAGATTGATTGGATATTATTATTTAATATTATTAAATGGATCATGGCAAACTACAGGCATATTGTGACTAATACATAAGTTACATTGATTAAATTTAATGAATATAAAATGGAAGCCTTATTTTTCATAACCGACATTTCAAGCGAGATATTATACAGCTGCAAATCTTTATTTAATCAATTCTAATCAAATAACACCTTGAGCAAAGGTTACACTATGCCTATCCTTTGCAAGACATTACTTAAAAAGTTTAAAAAATAAATAACAGCATATTTTGGCATATTTGATGCATGTGGCAACCCAACCACCCACCATTGTGGTGCAAACAGCCCTGCATACCCACAAATAGTAAAGCAATGCAGGTATTGGGCTTGGGATCCATCTTCTAAAACTCCTCCCCAAGAAAGGCTACATAGTCTTCCCTGGCTTGGTCCCTTCTTTTGATAATTACTAACTTACTTCCCCAAGAAGGGCAGAATTGACCTCAAATGTGGGGCCAGCACCCGTCTGGGCCCTAAAAAACAAAAGTAGGCTTGTACGGCTAAGTGAAATCTTAACTGATGGAGGAATAAAATAACTGGTAGTAGTGAAAGTACTTTAAATAAGGAAAGTGTGATGTGCTAAGTTTGTACAAGATAAAGGTGAAAGTAAGTGAGAATGAAGAGTGAAATAGAATATAAATTATACTGGAGAAAGAGGCATTACCAATGGAGACGAGTTTGTCTAGGGATTATTTTGAGCTGTATGGTGGCTGAAGGCACAGATAGGAAAACTGAAACAAGTAAAATGTTTATAAGGGTATGTAAGATTTGCTAGCATGTTGTGAAAAAGGATTACCTAGATTTTAGGAACAGGGAGGCCAAGCCATGATCAGAAGACAAAATGCAGAATGGCCGAGTGCAGAAAACCAGTAAGCCTCGGGTTGCAACACTAAACTTTCTGGTTATGCTTCCATACAAGTGCAATGAGGAGATTGCAGGTAAAGACAAGAAAATCAATTAAAAGAATTGAAAAGCAAGGCAAGAACATACTGACACTTATGAACTCTTAGGTTAGGTACTGTATATGGCCAAGACAATCTGTAGCAAGAATTGGAAGAAGAGAATATGGGTGGGGTCTTTGGGAGCAAGTATCAAAGATATTGTAACACAATATCAAATTAGATGGCAAATTCCTTGACGTTCTCATTGACCACAAGCTGAATTTCCAGGGACACATTCTAAATATATCAAAGTTTCAAAAACTGTTGGCATTCTTTCTAAGATCAGATATTATGTACCCCGCCCTGCCCTGGTGACTATTACTCCCTCATCTATCCATATCTCAACTATGGTATTTGTGCTTGGGGTTCTACTACCCAAAATCATTTACGACCTCTAATTACTCAACACAAAGCTGCTATTAGGACAATATCAAACTCTGGCCCCAGACATCACTCGGTACCCCTACTCAAATCTCTGAATATGCTAGATATTAAGTCACTGCACATCCTCTCATGTGTATTATACATATATAAAATGCTGAACTAATGCCAATCCTGACCTACAGAGTGCTTTGTTTTGCTTTTACTTTGAATATGTGCCTAGATCTTCTTTTACGTTTTGGGCAAGTTTTCTTTCATAGTTTCTTTTGGCTAATCTGATTTCCTGGGTAGCTGAACTTAATGCCTTTTTCTATACATCATAATCCATGATGTTCATTGTTGATTTATACCGTCTCCAGAGGTTCCGTTTAGTTATTGGCTCTCTTTTTACTACTTGTGTCATCCACCTTCTTCCCTTTCTTTTCTCTCTAATTTTTGGCACATATCTTTGAATGAGTTCAGTAATGACCTTTTTGAAATTTTCCCATGATGTTTCCATGCCATGATCACCTATCAGCGCCATCCATGAGGTGTTCTGCAATTCCCCCTCTCATTCACTGATACTTTAGTTTCCTTGATGGTAATCTAGAAGGTCATCATCCTGAACCCTTATGAGAGTTTCTGTAATTCTGTTCAATCTTAGAATACAGTATTGTAATCACATGATGAAACGAGCTAATGAGCTTTTCCCATTGTATATATGTGCACAAGCTGCCTGTCCCTGACAAAGCAAATTAAAATATACAAGTTGAGTGAAATGCATGCACTGAAAAAAATAGATGTTATTGCAATCACAGAAACATGATAAATATTGAAACAAGGTAATTTACAAATCAATTAACATTGTTTCACACTGGTAGATATATTTGACAAGGAAGTGGAGTAGCAATATTTTTCAGAAAATTTACAGTACAGTATTGTACTGTTGATCAAATGAAACTTGTACAGAAACAATTTGAACTGAACTGAATGAATCTAATTATAGCCTATGTACAAAGAAATCACATTAATGTGATGTAGAAAATCAGCAGGAGCCATAAGAAGGATGCCTCAGTGGAAGCCTCAGGAACCCTAGAGGATTCAGTTGAATCTCGGGTTGCAACGCTTTTGAGCACATCGTGATGTAGTGGTCCAGAGCTTTGTGTGGGAATTCCAAGCACATAGATTGGAATCCTCCTCATGGATCCTACTGATTTTCTTATTGGTATATAACTTTAAAATAGTAATTTCTTTGTGCCCATGAATGCAATGTAAATAAAATTCACTAAATGGAGAGTTAAAAGGAAAAGAAAAGGAAGCAGACAACATCAAGGAGTTACACTGTGAAATTATTTAAGAGTACAGTAGTTACAAGATGGGAGCTACACTCTCTAAGTTCTGTCTTCCCTATAATGTGTGCATGTGAAATGCTTAGTGCACGGTAAAACTTCAGTCTGAGGCCAACTTATCTACATCCACCATGTTGAAGAAACATTAAACAAAGGGGCCTCGACTTACGATGCTAATCCGTTCCCAGAGACGGATCGTAAGTCGAAATACAGTATCCTAAGTCGAAACAATTTTTCCCATAAGAAATAAAGGGATTTGAATTAATCCGTTCCCCACCCTCCAAAATATTAACATACAAATACATTTTATACTGAATACAATGTTTTTTTTCTAACTACAATACAGTACCTAAGTTTATCTTACCTTTATGGAGGGCTCTTGATGGCATATGAAATATGGTGATGAGGGGGGGAGGAGGAGAGTTGTTACCGTTTGGAAGGGGAGTCCCCTTCCATTATCACATCAGGCAGTGATGTTTTCTCTGGGGGTACTCTCTCTTTCCTACGTTTTGCCTGAATACCACTAGGACCTGGTTGTGGGTCAGTGTTTGTCTCACTACAAATTTGTCGAGAGACATTTGTTTTTCCCTTCGTTTTAACATTTGTCTGTAATGATGCATCACAGTGTCATTGAATAGGTTAAGGCAACGACCTACTGCAGCTTGATTTGGGCGAGTCGTTTCAGCAAAGGTTTGCAATTTTTCCCATGCGGCACACATTTCCTTAATTGTTGAGGAAGAGACATTCTGTACTCTTGTTTCTGCTCTATGGTCATCCTTACATGGGTTTTCATATGTTGAGCCTTACCACTGACTTTCCTGGGACTCGTGGCGTGATATATAATAATTACTTTAACCACTGCACTGCGCAAAGCGCCTTTAGGCGCTCAGAGAGTTGTGCTTTTTGTTTTTTAATTTGGCTATATTTTAATGTTTTTTAATGTTTTCATTACTATTTGTGTTTTGAAATGGAAATAGTTGACTTTGGAAACATTTTGACATTAAATTTACCTGAACATTTGTAAAAATAACAAAAATATGTCCTTGACAATTGCACCAAGACGTTTTTGCTGAAAATAGGTGAGCAGTGCAAGGGTTAATGTTCAAAATGCAAAAAATCACCACAAAAGCAGAATTTCTTATAGGCGCGATCGTCACTAAGTGGGCAGCTGCAGTAAACTGAGGCAGGTCGGCCGCGTGACCGAGAACCACGCACTCGGTCGACCCGAACGTTTACCAACAAATATCTGAAGTTGACGACACCATCGGATGTCAAGTCGCATTTTTCGATGAAATTTACATCGTAACTCAAAATTATCATAAGTAGGGGTAATCTTATGTCGCAGTGCCACCGTAGAAGGTTTACAGAGCAGTAATGCAAATAACTCACCTCAAGATCAAGAAGGGAAAGAATTGGATTCTTCAGGAAGATGCGATGACACTGTTTGCTGCTTGGCTCAAGTATATTTGCTTCAGGTCCTAGAAATTTGTAATACAGTACACTCATGAACAATTCAATGTACATTATCAAATTTACAGTATCAAACATGGCACATAAAATTTTATATATACAGTATATACATGTACACAAAAGGTCCTAGAAGTAGACATCACTATCTTAAGTGATTTGCACACAAGGTTAAAAAAAATACGAGGACAGCCTTCAGGATTGGTTAAACAGATCCCAGAGTGTCAAAGATGAAGAAAAACAAGTGTTTTTGTGAACACCAAGTCTCCAGGAGCATGAAGACTCCGCGTCCCTCCCCAACACTAAGACCCATGCTCACTTGCTCTCTCCACTCTAAGCTGTATTACAGCACTCAACTACCCTCATATGATGTAGATCACCACCTACAGGCAGCTAAGTACATGGAGTCAAGCATGTCATAACACATCTGGTAGATGAATGGACACGTGCGGGATTCTTAATTCTGTGGCCTGGTTTCGATTCCTGGACTAAGCAGAGACAAATGGGCAGAGTTTCTTTCACCCTGATGCCCCTGTTACCTAGCAGTAAATAGGCACCTGGGAGTTAGACCGCTGTTACGGGCTGCTTCCTGGGGGGGGGGGGGTGTACTCACCTATTTGTGCTTGCAAGGGGGGGTAGTCGAGCTCTGGCTCTTTGTCATGCCTCTCGACTGTCAATCAACTGGTGTACAGATTCCTGAGCCTACTGAGCTCTATCATATCTACATTTGAAACTGTGTATGGAGTCAGCCTCCACCACATCACTGCCTAATGCATTCCACCTGTTAACTACTCTGATAGCATGTGCCCGCCTGAGCGTGCATGCATGCATGGGGGGGGGGGGAATTAGTAGTTAGTAACAGTTGACTGACTGACAGTTGAGAGGCGGGCCGAAAGAGCAGAGCTCAACCCCCGCAAGCATAACTAGGTGAATACATCGTCAGTAACCAACCCAATCAACTCATTTCATCGTTAACAAAATTAATAAAAATTTTCTGCTGCTGTGAGTCCCAGTGCCTGCTGCCCAATACAAGTTTATGCTACAACATACTGAATTTCCCATACCATACTCAACCAACCATGTCTCAAAAGCAAGCTTGGGCAGGGAAAAAAGAACCACAAATCTTCAAGCAAGGCAGCCATCCAGAACAACACCGACAGCCATCGTTTTTCGCCCTCTGGGTCTGTGGCGGCGCTGTTCTCCTCCCCTCTACTCCAGCAGTGGAAGCAGTTTACAGACTTCCAAATGCTGATGTGTCTGAATTCAACTCTAACATCAGGAAACAGACTCGACAAAAACCAACTAGTAATTTTGAGGTATTTTAATACTGAACTCTGCGAGCCTGATAACCCTCAAGCTGCTAGTTTCCTCTACTGTATGAATTCCTGCTTGCTCATACCCTTAATCACTAAACGTACCAGAATTACTGATCTGACTGCATCTACTCTTGACCACATCTGGACTAACATAACCTCTCCACTCACTTCAGGGATAATCACTGATAGGACCACAGAATCTCCCCGCATTTCTTCTAACATTAATAAACCACCTCTAGATACAATGAAGATTAGATTTAGGCTGCGCAATGAAACTTCTATAAGCAACTTTATTGGTGCTGCTGCTAATAACAACTGGGAGACTGAATTGGGTAACAGTGAACATCAACTTAGTGCAAACATTTCTTCATTAAACTCAAGAGCCTCTATAATACCCATTGTCCAATGCTAATGTAACAAGTCAATTAGGGAAAAGATTAAACAATTCATGGCTTACTAAGGGTATACTTAAATCTATTAATAAAAAACATGACCATGAGAAGAAGTAAAGGTTAGGGATCATCTTTCAAGAAGTTTCAAGGAGATACTCATCAATGCTGTCTAAAATAATTATGAGAACCAAAATAAAATACTATGAAAATAAATTTGACCAAATTGAGGGCAACATTAAGAAAACATGGAGCACCATTTCCCAAATATTAGGATAAAAAAGATAACGAATAAAAAAACAATACTCTTATTCAATGATGGTGTGCTTTCAGCCTCTGACACTGCTATTAAATTCAATAGTTTCTTCTCATCCTTTGCAAATGATATCCCATCCTCTCTAATGTTAAGGACTACCTTACAGGAAACTATCCTGTCTCTCTGTACCTAACTCCTGCTAATTCTTTTGATGTTAATGAGCTAATCCTTTCTTTTAAAACAGAGTCAAGTGTCCTTGCTGAGATACCAACTCTAATGTACAAGAAAGCTTCCAGATTTCTAGCTCCAACCATTGCATTGCACTACAACCGATCACTAACTCCAAACCTTTCTATTCTAAAAAATAAAAGCGAGAGTAATCGTAGTCCATAAATGTGGTGATCTCACCGATGTCAACAATTTCAGACCTATATCAATTCTGCCAACCTTGTCAAAAAATATTTGAAAAGCTAATCTACAAGTGGCTTTAGTCTTATCTAGTTAAACACAATATATTTAGTTCTTGCCAATATAGCTGGCCTACCCCAGCTGACCCCAAGAGCGGGGTAAATGCAGAGAAGCAAAGAACCAGCGTTGAATGTAATGAAATGCCATTTTCTGGGCGAGACCCGGAGGCTCCCCGGAGCTATACCGGGCTGATGTGTATATATTAGACCGTGGCAACAGTCAATCGAAGGATTTCTAGGCCTACCAGGGACCAGAGCCAGAACCTGGCCCCCCTCAAGATGAAGCACGAGGAGCAATGGCCTAAAGACACCATGTAATTGGAAGCAGTCTTTGTCTGGCACCTGCCAGGTCAGGCACCCAGAAAGGTAGGAATTTTGAAACAAACTACTGCTGGCCAAAAAATTGCAAACCGAAAGCCAAAAATCAAACAGAACTCCTCAATCAAAAACCGGGAGACAAACATGACATCACCACAACCTCCGCGCATCCGTCTGCACAACCCCCCCTCCTCCCCGGGAGGGAGACGAGAGGGTCCCAGACCTCCACGCCGGCAACTCTCCCCAGTTCAGAAGTCGAGTATCAAAAACGTGAAAATCCGCTGACCGGGAGGGAGGGAGGGGTGCCGCGGAGCCTCCGGGTCTCACCCAGAAAATGGCGTTTCATTACATTCAACGCTGGTTTTCTATGGAACCCCATTTGACTTCCCGGAGCTACCTAACCAAAGATAAGGAAAAAAGGGACTCACCCAGGAGGCGGTCGTCACTCGGTCCTCAAGTCGAGACAACAGGTTGCAACCTGCGACCCAAGACTATACACGCCCGAGAAGAACATTAACAAGGTAATATGCAGCCAGGACCCTGATCAATCTTCAAAAGCCCCGTGCCCGAAGATAGGCCACAACATTTTACCAAAATAGCAGCCGAACGCAGAACTTACAAAAGGCGTGGGCATGGGGATAGACCGCAGGCTGGCAGGACCGAATAATCATGCGGACAACCTGGGAGAAGGGAAACAGATTCACCCAAAGCGCGTCCTCTGCCACAGAGACCATGGCGTGCAAATAACGGCGAAGAGCCACACACACAAAACACGATGCACCCCCGGCTGAAGCAACCTAGCATTAACAACCCAAGGACCCCTTCGGAAAGCAGCAGACTCATTCTTCACCAGAAAAGAAGGCTGCAAACGAACGAAACGACCACCATGACCGAAAGAGCAGAAACCCCTGCACCGGAGGAGAGTATGAAGCTCTCTGACCCGACCCCCAGAGGCCAATGCCAACAAGAAAAGAGCCTTAGAAAAACAGTCCTGAACCAAGGGGGGCCACCACGAACCGAGTAGAAGAGAGAAAAAGAGAGCACCTGGTTCAATGACCAGGACAGCTCAGGCAGCGAATGAGCAGACCAAAGGCAAAACAACGCCCGAGAAAGCTTGCGGAACGGAGCAGAATTGACATCCACCCTGAATACAAGCTGCAGCGGCTCCGCCAGCGCCGCACGATACAAGGCGACAATATTTGGCATAAGATGACGGTCCTGAAAGAACCAAGAGAGAAAGGACAAAACAACCCGAACTGAAATCGAAGAAACCTACGAAGAGACAAAAATGTCGAAACCAAAAGGACTGCCAGGAAATTTCATACTGCCGTCTAAACGAAACTCGCATGTGGGACGACATCAACAAAGCCACCTGAACACCATACAATTGGTGATACACCCGCATAAAAAAAACCAGACGCGAAGAGTGGAGTAGAAGATCGAACCAGCCACGTACCGGACCGGATTGATCTGCTGAAAGAGGCGAAGCCGCGGGAAGACCCTCAGGTTCGGACATCGAGCGAGCAGCGCCTGAAACCAAGGCTGGCCCGGCCACCAAGGAGCCAACAGGACTACTCTCCCCTGGTAAGTCTCCAACCGACCCAGGATCCGGAGCAACAACCGAACCGGAGGGAAGAGGTACAGGTAACTCCACCTCGACCAGTCAAGTCGAAAGGCATCGACCCCGATGGCTTCGCAGTCTGGGAAGGGCGCCACAAACTAGAAGACGCCTCGACCACACCGATGCAAAGAGGTCCACCTCTGGGCGCCCGTACGTCCGGCAGAGCCAACTGAACAAGTCAGCGTCGACCGTCCATTCCGTAGAAGGGGAATGAACCGAGACAGGCCGTCCGCCAGGAAATTTGACACCCCCTGAACATGAACCGCCAGGAGAGCCATACCCCCCGAGAACTCAGCAGATGAAGCACCCAAAACGACCAGCCCCAAAGAACCAAGGACCGCATTGAACCCCCACGGTTCAGGCAATGAACCACCGGGGAGCAGTCCAAATGGAGCCGGATCGTTGCTCCTCGAGCGACCCGAATCTTCTGAAGTGAATATCACACTGCTGCAAACTCCTGCCCCATGCTGTGAGCTCAACAGAAGGATGGACTCCACCAACCCTGGCCGGACTGGTGAGTACTTGTCACAAAACCCCAGCCGAGAAACGGGGCCTCCGTGAACACATCGAGCGAGGGCTCGGGGAGGCGCCACGGCACAGAACCCCAAAAAACTCGCAGAGGAAGCTGGCAATACAGCAGCCGA